CATCGTAATTATAGGTTGACATGGTAATTAAAGATTTACGTAAGAAAAAAATTAATCGGTTAAAAAAACTGAATAATTAATTTTGTTTATTTATAATTTGATCGTAATTATAATACATGTCAAAAAAATAAAGAAAAACTAAATGAGCCGCTTAAAAAAGAGCTGATAATGCTTATTTGCTTCCTTCACCTCGAGAGGATCTTTAGCTTCCAAGTTATAAGTTGAATTGAAAACCGTTCGATTTGGATAAAGCTTGGGGGCAAGATGTTCATATTCCAGGCAGAGCTTCTTCACATATTCAGGCATATAATTTTTGTCCTCATGCCCACGCGTCTGCTGACGTTCGACACAGATAGTGGGAGGACAACGAACATGAATATAATAATCGGCCTTGAGAAGCAGAATCAGGGCATTCTTCTTTTCAAGATACTCAAGCTTCAATGGATCATTGATATTAAGATTGGTGAAGATCTTAGTATCCAAGTTAGTTCGTTCAATAAGCAACACATTGTAATAAGCACGCATCTGTTTGATCATGCTCATAGATTGGGAAAAAGTCTCGATAACAAGATCCTGAAAATAAAACGAATATTTCTTCAGATTCGAATTAAACAACTTAAAATTCTCACACAACCGTAATGAAAGTTTAGTAGGAAAATAGACAGAAAAACCTCGGCCTTCACAATGCTTCTTGAACATGTTTGAAAAACGAGATTTGCCAGCACCAACAGATCCAAATATGACTATAACCTTGCCGAGTTTTTTTGGGCCATGCGTTAGCTGTTTACTAAATTTCTTTTCTTCCAATGTTGGTAGATCGGTTAAATCAATGATCTTATCATCATCATTTTTTTTTAGTTTTTTCGTGGAAGATTGGTCTTGAAGATCTGAATACTTTCTCTTAGCAGTTTCTTTTCCTTTACCTTTTTCCAATTTTGGGGTCATTTTACATAATGTGGTATCAATAAATTGGTCAAAAAGACCTGTATCCAATTCTGGAACCCTGTTGATATCAATGAATTGGTCAAAAAGATCTTGATCAGTCATGTTGAATGTTGACGGGCTAAAAGAACTGCTCGGTGCATATACAGCACTAAGCAGACTTAGTAAGGGTTAAATCGTTGCTTTTTTTTTATTAAAATACTCTCAATATTTACATTCTCCGCTTTCATACCAAACATGTCTAACGATAAAGCATTTAACTTTTTAAACTCAATAAGATTACTTGGGTCATCAATTGTATTAGTTTGATTGAAATATTTTTTTATATCCAAAATTAGGCACTTCTCATTTGATATTACCATATTTTTTTCCATTGTCTTCATCCAAGTAACTGCCTGCTTTGTCAATAAATTAGTCGATTTCATATGATCGCTATCATATACAATTATTCTCAAGGAATCATCGGGAAACTTGAAAAGAGTTGCCTCAAAATCCTTCACATATTTTAACAAAATCGACGATTCGATGGATTTATATTGAATTATAATAATCTTCTTTTCATAGTTCGCAATGATATCGACACCCCCATCACTCTGCCTCACTTTAACCCCATACAATAAAATACCGTGCTCATTCAAGATCTTAGCAATGGTAGATTCGAAGTCGTGACCAGTCTTATAATTTGAATTCTGAATTAATTTTTAAAAAAAAATGGTTAGCGAAAGATTCCTATTCATCTCTTACGTAACGGCTGAGATATAACTCGCAGACTAGCTCAGTTTCCACTGGAAATAAAACTCATCCTCGCATTTCCCGTGAAAAGAAATATCTCAGAATGAATTCCTTCCAATTTGAGACAGCGTAACTTCAAAATCTTATATTTACTAAGTAAAAGGCATGGCCATCTTACCTTTTCCAAAGTTGTCATCATTAATTATTCGCGTACAAATAAAAATCTATTCGGTAAAATTATGACTGAATAGATTCGTGTTGATAATACATTCAAATTTAATAAATATATATATATTTAATACTAAAAAAACTAAACAATACAAGTTTTATTGATTATGGGTATTGCAAATGTTCTCACTCAATAACCAGCATCAATGGTGGTAAATAAAGTTTCACATGAAGTAAGTGGGCAGCTATCACCAAACATTGAATCGACCAAGAAGAATCAATCTTTGAAAGGTTATGATAAAAAATTCCATGATGCAAAAAAGACATTCATATTTGGTAAGAAACTCCATTGTGCTTACATAATCACATTTTCTGGTTATCCAATTATACTGAAGGTATGTATAATCTCGCAAAAAGTATTTCAAAGACAGCTCTTCAAATGCTTCTTTATGCTTTTTACGAAGAGATTATCCACGTGTGATAATATATTCAAATAACACTGAGAACAGATGTGACATCGAAGTTTATAACCAGGAAGAACCTCAAAGTAATCATATATGAGATCTCTATCCATAAGAAATTGATATGTGGAGGTAATTACATAAATAAAAGTCTATTAGGTCACATGAGACTGAATAGATTAAAGTTATTTATAATAATATTAATAAAAAAAAATAAAATTAAATAGTAAGAATAGTAGTTAACATGTTTGTAAGAACATTAACATCCTGGTCTTTTCCCCTAGAAATCGGGGGTACAATCTTTACTCGAAGAAGAGATTGCATGGCTATAATAAACCGTTGAAAAGAGCATGAAGAATCGATATGATCAAGATCGAAGAAAAGAATATTGTATTGAATGAACAAATGCCTATACTTTAAAAAGTAAAAGGTGGCCATTCCGTAATCATATTCCTCAGAAATCCAATTGCTATAGATTTGGTTATAGTCAAAGAGAAAATGTTTCTTAAGAAGATCTGCAAATATTTCTTTGTGATCTCGGTAAAGATGTTGGTTAAAATGTTCCTTCCCATTAAGAATGCTTGGATAACTCCAATCGCAAAACTCGCAATGAATTCCAGAAGGTGATAAAATACAATGTT